CTACTACTACTACTACTACTACTACTACTACTACTACTACTACTACTACTACTACTACTACTACTAGTATTCTTAGCACTAGTAGTAGTAGTAGTACTACTACTACTAGTCCTAGTATTGACTGGGAAATATTTGTCTCTTTAGTATTCTTTAGGGGACAAACAAGGAACACCACTTAAAAATTTCTTTTTGTTTTGAATGCACAGCAAGAACACAACCAGTACTAGTAGTAGAAGTATGCGCAAAGAGAATGTCATCCAGCAGACAATATGTACTTCCTACTACTTCTGCTAATAGTATGAAACAAAGAGGAAACAGTCGTTTTTTTGAACTCATAACCTGTTAGAATATGATATCGTACAGTACTTCGAATTATTTTTACTAGGCTCAGTTCTACTTAAAAACGATACTGTATTTAGGCGAACCGTGACTGGGCGAGCAAGGCCGCACGGCATGTGACTCTAAATAAAACATCGCTAAACTCGCCACTTTTTTGTCCATATAGGATGAGTAATCATGGAGTCCTACGATGTTGGTGGGAGAAGCCCTGCGCTACGAATGATTTGGATGCGAGTGAAGCGACGATCGAAAGGAAGGTCCGAATCTCTATATCAGTAATCATATGTTTAACCCAATCAATGAATCATGGTGAAGATGGTATCAGCGCCGATGATATCCTATCGACTCATCAGTAAAATATTTCTATGTGTTATCATCGTCGCAATCACAGGGGTCGTAACAGGAGAAAGCACTCTGAACGATTATGAGCACGAGGTAGAACTTGCAGTGAAAACTGCAACGAAAGCATTGCAGCATGAAATTGACTCTCTCCAAGGACAAATAGATCTATTTGAAATGAAACACGAAACATTGCAGGCTGCATCAGAACATTTTAGGGTTCAGTCGAGAAGTCTCAAATCGAAATTGGATGACGAACGGAGCAGGTACGAAAGTCTCGAGTCTGAAAAGCGTTCCCTGGAGGCGAGCATCGAAAGCAAAATAGCTAGTGCCCTACAAGGTCAAAAAGCAAGATTTGAAGATACTATTGCTGCTGAACATACCGATCAACAAAAGTTGCGAACTAAAGAAATCCAAGAACTCGGAGAAAAGTTACGTCGCTSTGAATATAATTTTTCAATGTTGGAAGAACAGATGAAAGAAAAAATGGTGGTGGAATCGAAACGATATGAGTTACTTTTAGGGAAGAAAAAGATTTCAGAAGAAAAGCTTAGTACAGAGATTAATGATCTCACGGAAAGGTTATCGTTCAGCGAGAAACAAGCTAAATCTTTCGAAGAATCGTTGAAACGTGCAATTTTAGAAGTGGAAGAGAAAGATGATTTCCTACAAAAAGAATCCGAGAATCGYATGGAAGAAGCTGACCGATGGGAAAAACGCATGAAAAAACAAATTGCCGAATCTCAGAAGTTGTACAAGGAAAAACAATCAAAGGAGGAAGAATTCATTGAATCTGAAAAGCTGCGGAAGTCACTCCTCGAAAAAGTCCAAACATCGGAAGGAGCAATTAAAAAGATGGAAAGGAAAGTTAGAGCTTTGACAACAGAAAACAAAGAACTCCAAGATGAACTTGTCGATGGTAGTTTCGAGTTGGAAAGCAGTCGAAAGAAGACGAAACAGTTGATTGAAGAAAACTCCGAAATGACGAAGGCGTACAATGCAGCTCTCGAAAAATTGTCGACGAAAAACAGTCTTCTCCAAAACGAGTTGGTTGAGATGAAGTTCGAATCAGAAGAAAGCCATACCGAAACAGAATTGTTGAAGAAGCGCATCAAAGAAGAAATTGTAAAGAAGGAAAAGATGCAAGAGGAACTACTTCTCGTTGAATTTCAACTCGACAAGAACAAGGAATTGGAGGACAGATTGAACAATAAAAACAAGGAGCTCCAGCAGATGTATAATCAAATCGAAGAAAGACTAGAAGAACGAGAAATGAAGATGCTCGACTACAAGCAGCAACAGCAAAGCAGTTTGAATTACGCCGAGAAGCTAGAGGGAACCATTCAAGATCTTGAAAGAAAGGTCGAAGACTTGACCGAACAACTTGAATCGAGACTTAACCATCAGATCAACGCCACTGAGTCTAGATCTAYTGAGCTTTCTCGCATGTACGAGTCAATGAAGGAAAAGAACGATGCACTTAGTCGTGACTTGTACACCGCAAACGAAAAACTCAWCAACGTGCAGTCATCCCATCAGAACCAAGTCGATTCGTTCAGTCAAAATCTTAAGTTCGTAAGCCTACAGCTCGAAGAGAAGAACAAAGCCCTCAAGGAATGCGACAATGAGCTTCGTGATACACAGGCGAAGTACCCAGAAATCATCCAAGATAATGCTGCTGAAAAGAAGGGACCTGTGGAAAAAGAGCAGAAGCTTAAGGTCGAAGAGCCAGTGGCCGACGAGCTCAAAACGGAAGCTGAATTTGAAGAGAACCAATCGGCAGAACAAGACATCGACGAGACAGAAATTAAGATTGAACAAAAACCACTGTTAAACAAAAAGACGGCAGTGGTCGACGAGACATCAGCCAAAGAAGAAGATGCCACTTCTGACTCTGAGACTTCGAGTGGGTTCGACATGATTTTCACCGTTTTCCGCTGGTTGGATTATAGCCTGTATAAGATCCTACGGGTCATCGTGGACTCGGCTCTATTTTTAGCGAATATTTTGTGGAAGATATCATCGCATTTCGACAYTGGAAGACTTGCCGGTCCTTTCAAGCCGTTTTTTGAGCTCATCTCATGGGCTCTGAACGAATTCAGAATCATCCACTATGCCCTCGTATCCCTTTTTGAGTTTGAAATGACGTTTGTTTCTAGTCTTGTATCACGCGAGAAAGACAGAACGGGGTTTGCATTCTTGATCAACCACAGCGAAATGATGGTAATGCTTGGAGAGGCGATTGCTGCGCTTCTTTGCGTCGATTTTGTGTTTTCTTCCATCAAAAACCAACAAAGAGTGCGAAGACAACGCCGGCCACAAACCATTCCGGTRCCAAAAAWGGCCACTACAAGTTTGCTGCGCAAGGCCAATATGTAGATGAATCATAGGTATAATTTGTATATTAGATAGTCACACGAGACACTGTGCACAAGGCACGAGAATTTGAAAATAACGTAGTTCAACAACGTCGATGTGTGAYCCGGGACCGGCACCATCAAGAATTGCTGTCATTATTTCGAGCAATGCCCCGAGGTACGTCGATATCGCATCTAAATACCATCGGTTCTAGTTACACAGCAATGCCCACATTGGTTTCGATGTTCGGAAACGGCTGTTCGATTTTGAGGACTACCACAGTATTGGAATGAAAGGTCGGTACCATCCTGCTCTCAACACCGTAGTGCAAACCAAATCCTCAACTGGTGCGCAACAACGCAAATCTGATAGAACATAGGAAAAAAGAGACGGGACTCTGTCCCGTGTAGGGTTCCATYGTGGGAATACGAATCTCTGACTACTAAACTATTTTGTGTTCTTCGGTGCGAAACCTTGCAGCTCAAAAAATCAAGTTATTTTATGCATTCGACCACGCGTCGCTTTCCTGGCTTAGTCGTTGTTTATCTTCATGTTCCAGTCGTGTGTGTCTTCGTCGTCGCCCATCTGGATTGCCCGGACGCGCTGGTACAATCGYTTGGTCGTTTCACCGAGCTCGCCCTCTTCTCCGAACCGGTAGACGGTGTCTTCCTCGCCGTCCTGGCCCAGTATGGTGGCGGATCCCACGGGTGTAACGACGACGGCCGTGCCCACCGCTAGGACCTCGTCAAAGTCTTTCAGTTCCTCTACCGCCACGTTTCTCGCCTCGACGGTGTATCCCTCGTCCTCGGCAATCTGCATCAGTGATTTGTTGGTGATGGATGGCAACACCGATGGCGATTTGGGGGTGACGAATTTTTTGTTTTTGTTGTCAATCCCGACAAAGTTGGAGGTGCTGAATTCTTCGACGTATTGTTGGGTTTTGGCATCCAGGTACAGACCAATCGGGTATCCCTTTTTCTTGCTCTCCATGTTTGGCAGCAAGTCGGCGGCGTAGTTTCCGGCAACCTTCACGGCGCCGACACCCTGGGGGGCAGCTCGGTCGTAGTCCTTGATGATCAAGGCGTCGACRGGCTTGGACAAGCCACCCTCGTAGTAGTCGGCAACGGGCATGACCATGATGCAAAAGGTGTATTCGTCGGCGGGCTGCAGTCCGATTCTGGGTCCCGATCCAAACAGCAGGGGTCTGATGTAGAGGGCTCCGCCGGTGCCGTACGGCGGGACAAATTCGATGTTGTCCTTGACGACRGTTTGAACGGCATCGCAAAAGAGGTCCGTGGGGAGCTCCGGCATCATGATTCTGCGGCAACTCGACTGCATGCGCGCGGCRTTTTCTTCCGGACGGAAGGAGTATACGTCGCCGTCTTTGTGGGTGAAGGCCTTGAGGCCCTCGAAGCAAGCCTGTCCGTAATGCAAGACGGTCGCACCGATGTGGAGGTTGACGTAAGGTTCCTGTGTGTGGGGGGGGGGAGGAGAGGGAGGTTGTGAGCGTGAGAATTTGTGTTTCCGTCGACGGTTTTGTGGTTCGATTTTGAAGGGTCCGTTGCGAAATCGAAGCATCGTGTAGCGGTTTTGTAATGTTTGCGTGTCAAATTTTGYATCGGATCGGTCGCAATMAMCATTGCCACGAAAACAGAGAATACAWTGACGGAACAAAAGATCGAGCACAAAATCTTAGCGATCTATCTAATCTAGTCAAATCAAATCTTTTCCATCCGATTCTTTGCATCCCATGCAAACGCTGTGTGTTCCGATCGCGATCGCGACGGCAATTGCAAAAGGCACCCGCCAACAAGCACCGTCCGACTCCTTCCCGGTCTGACAGACTCGTCTTACCTTGATGATTTCTGGCTCGGACCATCCCTCTCCTTCCTTCCACTTGAGTTGCACGTGCGAATTGGTGGGTCGGAATTCGAACCCGAGCTTCTCCCAGGGCTTGTCCATCTGAGCGGTTCCCGGTAGCTTCTTGGCGGCGGCTTCCGTCGACATGTTCAGCACGGTGCTGCTGCCGGTGTTTCCCACAGCGTTGCCGTAKGCGAGGGGTTGCTGGAAGGCATCGGAAAACGACACGGCGGTGGCGAGCAGCGCCGTCAGTATGGCTCTTCGATCAAACATCATGTTTCTGTTTCGGTTGGTACTGGAATTGGTATTGGTTTTGGATAGGCTTGTGTTTCGGTGTCGGCTGTSGTTGTGGTTTCGTTTCCTTTCTCTGGTTCCCCGTGCAGATTCTGATGTATTCGGCGAAGGTAATTCCAGAAACATGCAACAGCAACAATCGGTCAATGGAGCGATGCGTTAGTCCGGTGATTGAAATTCATCGTTGCGCGAGAAGAAAATCAGTTCTTTCGACTTGCAAGGGCGGTGCGGTACACTTCGTAGTTTTCGTAGTGATGGTACCGTACAACGTGTGAACGAAACGGCAGCAGTACGGTTACTGCAYGTAGCAGATCTGCTAACCGTAGTTGAGATTTTTCGCAAGCACGTACCGTACGGAGTGGTACGAGTCCCTACTAGTATCAGTGCGTAAGGGTGGGGCAAGGAAAAACAACACGCGCTGATGTGCTCTGCGTTTCTGCTTGTTGATGTGGTGACGCAATGCAGGGATGGGAGAAACGGTCGATGCTGCGCGGATACGGTTGGAGGACAGGACCTAAAATTTGTGCAAAGTACTGCACCATACAATACCGTAGCAGTCAGACGTAGGGATAATACATATCGTACTTCGAATACTACAGTATGATATGGATTGACGTTCGATCCATCCTTCGACTCTTTGGATCCAAATTACTTTCAGTGCCAGGCACCAACTGTCGTCCATCTCAACGTATGGTAGTACGGTACAGTAGACCGTAGAGATCTAACGTTCCATACCCACAGTACAGGTAGGTAGGTTTTGAGACGTACGGTTGTCTCACTCTTCACGTCGTGGTTCGGAACAGCTCTGGATCATTTTTATTCGTTACAAGAAAAAAATAAGAGATTTTGCCTTCTGGTGGTATTCTTCCATCGGCTACAAAATCTCATTGCTTTCTCCTTTTTCTTCTACTCGCACGGCACGATACGATACGGCACGGCACGATACGATACGATACGACCCCGCACCCCTACTCGTGCTTAGTAATCCTACTACGAGAGTGTGAGGTTTGGATTGTTTCATACTTCCATCCTCGACCACCAGCGCGGAACGGTGCGGTACCGCGGAGCGCCATGATGTCGTCCACTCCGAAGGGCGGCAGCGTCCACGATCGCGATGCCGGGTGTTTTATGGAACCATCCGGCGACGTCTTCATCGACGACGACGACGACGAGGACTCGCCGCCGGCCCCCGGGGTCTCGATCGCCCATCGGTCCACCACCTCTGTGATCCTCACGCAGACGCAGACGCGGACACAAACACAGAATCAAACACAGACACAGACACAGACACAGACACAAACGCAGAAACACGCGGCTCCCGGCGTCCATTACCCGCAGTGGCACAACGCGCTCGCGGGCGGAATCGCGGGCGCCGGGGCCCGTCTGTTCACGGCCCCCCTGGACCTGGTCCGGATCCGGGCCCAGCTCGAACGCCGGGACGTCTACCCCCGGCCCTCGGTCCTGGGGCGGATGCGCGGGGTGTAYCGCGCCGAGGGGGGGTTCACCGCCCTCTTCCGCGGGAACCTGGCCGCCTCGTACCTGTGGGTGGGCTACACGACGGTCCAGTTTTCGGTCTACGGAACCACCAAGGACGCCCTGGAGGCCATCCGCTGCTCCCGCGGCGACGGGCTGGCCGGGGGGGAGGCGGCACCGGTGCCGGCCGGTCTCCTGGCCAATCCATCCGCCGTGGCCTTTGTTTCGGGTGCGATTGCCGGGGTGTGTGCCACAATGGTCACCTATCCCTTTGACATCTGCCGCACCGTCTTTGCCTCCCGGGGAGCTCCGGCGACACAGCATCAGCCACAGCATCAGCCACAGCATCAGCCACAGAAAACACGGGCCGCTCGCACCGGTTCTGCGGCAGCAACCGCAATCGCGGCCAACAACGCAACAACTACTGCTACCACTGCCATCCGACCGCCGTCGACCATCAAGGAATGTGCCGTGTCCATGTACCGAAAGGACGGCCTCCGTGGATTCTATGCCGGTTCGGCACCCGCGGTGGTCCAAATCGTCCCCTACATGGGSCTGAACTTTGCMATTTACGATTTCCTCGTGGGAGACGGGACCAACAGCAAGAGCGTCGGGCTGTCCGGGTACGCCGGATCCATCAGCGGGGCCGTTTCCAAGGTAGCGGTCTACCCCATGGACACGATCAAGAAACGGATCCAGATCCAGTCGGTCTTTGGGACGGCGTGTTCGCAGCCCGGAGGCGTGGTCTACAGCGGGATCGGGGATTGCTTCGCCACCACCGTCCGCACGGAGGGGGTCCGCGGCCTCTACCGCGGGCTCTTTCCCTCGGTCCTCAAAACCACCCTGGGCAGCGGTCTTTCCTTTGCCTTCTTTCGGACCACCAAGAATCTGCTGGAGAACGTCCACGACTACCAACACTGAGCGGACCGKCCTKGGTCGAMCYKGAACACCGATCGCCGGCTGGAAACCGGCGACTGCGTGCCCACTTCGTGTAGTTGTCGTGCGAACCCACCTGGGGGTCGGGCCAACCACTCGGCACGGCATCGGTCCTTGGTTTTGGTGGCCGACGACGGGCAACCGCCGTAGCTCCTCCCTCCCGGATGGATCCACCACGTGGGTCGATCCACGGAGTCCGTCGCGCCGGCATTGCCCGTTGTGTGCTACAGCAACAACACACGGCGACTGGCCGGTGTTGCGGCGCTCGGTCCGGAGGGTCGGCGCCCCGCGGCCTTCCTTTCTCGGTCGGGACGAGGGACGGAAGGGATCGCCTCCGTGTTGCGTTGCTATCGCTGTGGCGTGAACGATGGCCACGTGTTTCGAAGGGAACGCCGGTCCGGTCCACCGACCACCGAACAAAGCACCCGGAGCAGCAGCAGCAGCAGCAGCAGCACGGGTCTCTGGCAAGCGCACCGTCTCGGATACTCACGCCCGCCACTCAATCGGGTTCATTGCCACGGAAATCACTCCGAATGCATTTGCCGTGCACCTACAATGGATTGATTGCTACCGATTACGGTTCGTGAGGAAAATATTATAATATCGAATCGCCAGCATCGTTTGATAGCAGTTCTCAATGGCAAGCTTTCTCTCGGGGAACAATTATTGTCCACCTTGAAAATTCCCTGCAWTCATTCTAACATCAGTCAACCAAGAACAGCARCGTTTTGATGCTTCTCATCGAGCTGAATGCCGAAGAATCTGTTTTCCAAGAACTGAAAAGTTGTTCGATGTGACAGAATTGTGGAATAAGAGTGTCTTCAAAGACGCCAAAGAATTGTTGGGTGTAGCAGTATAAYTAGTTAGATTTCTAAGATATTATTTGATGTGGTACAACGACAAACAAACACTTGAGAAAGATTMATACAAATGCGGTACTGCSAGTTTATTGGAAATTTGAGWGAATTGTTGCACGTCGGGTAAATATTGGGGAATGCATGAATATGAAAAAGGAAGTATCCTAGTAGAGTTGTTCACATATGTATTGTTTCTTTGTCATCGGGATTATGTTGGCAACAGCACAAGGGAATCAGATTAATTGGCTTCGATGCTTTGAGGAGCTTTCATCAGAAACATATCGGTAAAATGGTATTCTTTTTGTTGCGATAAGAAAAACTAGTAATGAGGAAGAAAAACAAAAAGAACCCCCAAATACCGTAGAACATGAAATTTGGGCTGAGAAATGTGAGGTGTGAGAACATATTCGAGGAAAAAAGGCCCTGAGATTTGTATCAAAAAATGCACGCACAATTTTGTTTTGGTCAATGCGGGAAAATGAAAAGAACACCATTAGTAGTACTAGTATTATATTCTTGGTTTGTGTGACCACGTAGTACTAGTAGTACCATCATAAGCATACTACTACTACTACTACTACTAGTAGTACTATTCTTACTAGTACTAGTACTATGAGAAGTAGAAATATTAGTTCTAGTAGTGCTATTAGCTACTTCTACTACTAGCTAGTATGAGTATTAGTATTGGTATTAGTATTGGTATTGGTATTATTATTATTATTATTATTAGTAGTAGTAGTAGTAGTAGTACTAGTAGTAGTAGTACCAGTAGTAATACCAGCTTTCCCATGCTGCGTGTATCTTGTTCAAAGAAGCTACACGTGTTCACGAAAAAATCCAAAATAATTTTCACGCACAAAAACTCCCTTCAGACAATTATTTTTGATCTTGCACAATTCCTCACCAACATGGGCTGGTCTCATAGGAAACGTCAAGTAAAAGCAGACACCATGATTGCAAACAATTGCAGAAAATTCTTTGCTATGCTTTCGCTGCTACAGCTGTTGCTTGTGCTCGCTTACGACAATCGATCGATATTCTCTTCGGCTCTGAGCGTTGCCAATGCTGCTTCGACACCAACGCCGGAGTGTGCCGTCGTTGGCGTTGGAGTCTTGGGAACGAGCCTCTGCAAGCAACTTTTGCGCGATCCCGACATGAAAGATTGGAAAGGTGGGTGTTTCTGTTYCAATCATCCTCTTCCTGTGACGCCGATRTACTTAAATCGCTGGGTCTTRGATTMAAAAATGCGCCATCATTCCGTCCTCTTCTCAATCGACAGCCTCTCTCACACGCAAACATATTCTGTATTCATCTTCATGATATCCCTCAGTGACTGGYATTACAAAAAGTAACAAGMGGCATGAGCAAATATTGAAAGATGTTTTGGGAGACGACGATCGTTATTCCGATCGTTTCGAACTGCGAACGGCAGACGACAACGCAAAAAGTGAACAAAAATTCAATCATTGCGTATTTTGCGCTCCCCCGTCTGGATTCGAAGATTATCCRGCGGCTGTCAAGGAAGCAGTCGATGGCCTTTGGATGGGTCAAAATGGTGAGAATGAAGGAGGGGCATTTGTTTTCACATCGAGTGGTGGAATCTACGGTAGTGGTGGTGACGAGATCGAGGTGTCGCCAATCGTGACAGAGTCGACTCCRTTGACCACCGTAACTCCAAGAATCGAGAAACTTSTTAATGCTGAAAAAGAGGTTCTCAAGCACAAGGGTGGATCCGTACTTAGATTGGCTGGATTGTATTTGTTGGATCGAGGCGCACACAATTTCTGGTTGGGCGATACTGCCGAATTGACAAGAGAGGAAATTTCGGGTCGACCCGATGGCGTGATAAATTTGTTGCACTATGAYGACGCTGCAGGATCGGTTGTCGCTGCRTTGAAGAAAACCTCGAAGAACAGTGACAKCGACGATGATGCAAAAGGSGGAAAAATATTTTTAGTCAGCGATGGACATCCTCAAACCCGCCTACAAATTTGTGAGTCGAGCTTGAAAAACAAGAGATACTCGGATCGAACCATTCCAAGATTCACCGGCTCCAAAGAAAACGGAGATCCYATCGGGAAGATATATGATGGAAGCTACACAAACAAGTATTTGGATTGGACACCAAGGTACGAGTCGTTCGACAAATTCATGTCTTCGTAGGCTCTAGATTATCGATGCTGGTTGCTTCCCAATAGCATACGACGTAGTTCTTCGACCATTCGACGCTGCTTCAACAAGATGACATCCTGTGGTGATAGGGAATTGCGCCACTATTCTTTGAATTAACACAGTATTGGTATTGCRAGAGTCTACTAAAGCGAGTGTAATTACTTCTCGATGAAAACGTGATTAGAATTCTCCGTTATAGAACTGCTTTTCAGCTTCATMGCAGCCCAGAGACGCTCTCTTCAAGAAAACTTGGGTTTCTTCAGGCGAAGACGATATTGGGTTCTGTAAATACTAGGAATACCACTTACATGTACAATGGGTACTTTGAACTTTTTTCTGCTGGATCTCTCTACGCAATGTATTGCGTATGCAGCAATATAATGATCCTTATTGGCTTCACTTTTATGTGGCAACATATTTGACTTGCAGTTTGGATCTTTTCTCAGTATGAAGTATTACTACTATTACTCAAAATATGAAACATAACTAATAGTACGTACAGTATTACAAAGTTTTACTGTAGCTAGTCATGCTGATCGTCGCAAGAATCTTGATGTATTTTTTTAGCGAAATCGTGAGTCTAGTAAAAATATCGAGAGGGCATAGACCTAATATCATGACTTTATTTATGACTACAAAGTTTTACTGTAATTGTTAGTCATGGTGATCATTGCAAGAACGTTGATGCAATTTTTTTGAGCGAAATCGTGAGTCTTGTTAAAAATATCAAAAGGGCATAGATATAATGCCATGACTATATTTATGACTATTAATATAAATAGGTAGTGAAGCTATTGATTGATAGTCATTTTCCATCTGAGTTGAAGAAAATCTTTGGATGAATGGCTTCACAACCACTTCGCCGGTTTCAAGCTCTGCTTGTAAGATTATTCATCGGAGTTCTTAGAAAAATTACGGAGGTATTGATTATTGATTAGTACGCATTGAGTACTGAGCCGTGAAATAACGAAGTCGGCACAAGGCAYAAAATAGGATCTTCATGTCAGTAGCACAATTTCGGCAGGCGTGAAATTGAAAAGATAACACATCGGTGAAGGAAAAAAGATGACGAAACATTCTTCGATTTATATGCTATGGGTATTCATTGCCTCCATTGCAACTGGAAGTGCACTCAGTGCTCCAAGTCCTCCCGTGAAGGCACCACCTGTGACGGCTAGCGTCTACGAGGAAACACTTCCGATGTTGTATGGTGAGTGTCTGTGTGGCTCGACTTCAATCCAGCGAGTTCACGTTTATACCCATAGAGAGATGGACGGATTTCATCGAGATGCGCCCAATTCTTCGATTCCGTTTTGAATCAATCTCACTTTTTGACTTGCATGTATGRCATTCTCTTGATAATTTTACCGATTCAATCTTTGRCTGTACAACCATACCGACTTTCCAACGCATGCAGCTTCACGTCTCGTYTACAACTTCGCGGACATCGTAGMAAGAGCAAGAGMCGATAAAATCGATTTGAAACTCCCAGAGGACTTCCCTCTAAAAGATCTCAGTCGATTCCAGGAARAGAGTATTGACTTGAGGGAATTCAACGGCGGGAAYGGCATCAGCTTTGCCCAATTGAACGACGTYTTGAATCTCAATGCAGAGGTCATCGCTGCCAAGTTCAACGATRAAGACTCTRAATATACCAAGTCCGTGGTCACTGAKRTCAGAGACTATTTTGCARATTCCGAGGGTGACGAAGGATCCGAAAAAAATTATTWCCTATCGACCTACCGAAGTCTCCAGAACAAAATCGCATGCGTCTATGGCGTAGTGAAGGATACGTGAGTAYTAACGAATATCAGCAAGGGACATTCGATCAAAACAAYTTTTTTCTCTTCATTTCGATTCCTAATCKTTTTGYATTTTATCGCGATCTAATATTCAGGCAAAACAAGAGAATCATTGTYTCATTCCGTGGATCTMAAAATCCCTTCACGAATCGCGATTGGAAAACCAACTTCAACGCGAAATTAGTTGAATTGAAGACACCGAAAAAAGTCCGTGACAAAATGGAAGGTGTCCTACAGAAGCGAGTTCTGGTTCACAGAGGATTTTATGGTACGTAACACCAGCCGAAGGCAACTGTAGTCTTGTTTACCTTGTGTTTCATCGAACATCACCCCTCAACTTAACCCAACTCGGAATCTGTTGCTCTCACAAACACACAACACAATATTTCGCCTTTTTCAGAATATCTGTTCGATAACAAAAAGCTTGATGGTATGCAGAAATATGATGAAATCATTTCGGATATCGAACCATTGATGGAAGATGGATATAGTTTATACGTSACCGGACACAGGTACGTCCCTTGTCGGCTGGAATATTTGAAATACTTTTTTTCTATGCTTAACTTCGGTGTTTTAAAAACTTTTACTTTTATAGTCTCGGTGGAGCTCTTGCAACCATGTTTTCGTTCAAGCTCGCCGGTGCCGGGAAAAAGAGAGACTGGGTACCAAAGCCAGTTTCGTGCATCACATTCTGCGCTCCCTTTTCTGGAACAAGTGGTTACAGAACAGCATTTGAGGTAAGAACGATAGTGGATGGTGTAGAAATTATCTGACTGAACACGACGCTCACTGTATCGCATCCATCGTCTGATAATGTTGTGTAGCAAATGGAATTGGATGGGTTGATCCGTGCTCTTCGCGTCAATAATGGAGAAGATTTAGGTAAGTTTCCTTCAACAAGAGCTGACATCACCCAAGTGACATCCGCTTTCTCACACTATTTTGCATTGTGATTATGTTCGAAGTCCCTGCTATTCCTACGAATTCTATTGGAATTGGCARAAGACGATCCATGAAGCACACAGGTATCAATCTTCGCTTGACCAAGAAGGGAATGCGTCTTCTTCATTCCAGTAACTCTGGGTTGACAAATGCTATCAGAAACTCATTTCTCAAACCAATTTGGAAGGGTTTGACTTGGCATGGGCTCCCATTGGTCGAAAAACGTCTGCAGAATAATGCGGACAAACTTACAGCTGTGACACTTGATGATCTCTACAAGGACGACAGCATTGTCAGCAGTAGTTTCAAAGAAGGCCAAGTGAATCATGATGAAGATGAAAGAGACCTTTAATCACAGTAGACATGCACTGCGTGCTCATTGTGACCTCACTGTTTCGGCATTGTGTCGTTTATTACTATTTTCTCACGGACTAAGTTTCATGAAAATGAAAGCAAGGTTGGGCCAACATCGTTAATTATTTGTGGAACTTCGATTTTTATTGCGAAATGTACTGGAGAGAATGGAACAAAAATAATTAATTTCAATGGCTCTCATATTTCRAGATATCTCGGTTCTTTTCAATAATTTTAGTTAGTTTCAGGATGCAACAAACATAGTAGTTGCACTGTCTAAGATTTTTTGCTGAATGTACGTCTCCAAAGTGAAGTGCACTATTATTGAAATTCCAGTCTCGACGTATTAGTGGTTTCCTCGAAACCTCTGTTGAATCTTTATTCGATCGATATATTGAGCATGACCTGCCTCACTTCGAATTTCTCKGGATCAGAGCTGTAGCTTGTGTCGAAGTAATAATCAATAACCGACACCTTATGGATATCGTCGTCGTCTTTCCTGCTCTTCATAGTTTTTGACGACAGTGGTTGCTGGTTCGTCTGTATTGCGTCTCTGAAAATCTCTGTCAGCACAAATCGGTTGAAGTTGGGATAAAGTCGATAACCTTGTTCTTGAAGAAGTATTTGAGATTGCAAGGTAACGTCGCCGTCGATGCTGACAGTGATGACAAGGTCCGCCAGTGCGTCTTCGACGAAATCTTGCAAGTCGTCCATCGATTCGACATTGTTTCGATCGATGTTCGCTACCAATCCAAGTTCCCGGGTTTTGCCAGCCAATGCATCCGTCTGTTCGAGTGCGGCAACAATCTGGTTCTTCAGAACGACACTCGGTTCTTGCTCTTGCTKAGTTGCAGGTACTTTCCTTTCGTCGCCCACCAATTGCAAGCTTTCAATCAATCCTCGGCCTACATTYTTTTCGAAGTCGGTTCGGAAACGACCAAAATCAATGCTAGCACCCATTTCTAGAATCAGTTCGGAATAGGCCTTGAAGTGGGCATAGACCACAAAATTAAACTGCGMTGCCGATCGGAACTGCAACAAMTCTTTGGGGGCGACAACCCCTTCGCCATTGCCGACCGAAAATACTACCCCCGATCGCTCGAACGAAGCCTTTGCCGAGCTCGCAATCTTTTCGATGCGGGAATCGAGGTTTTGCCGTGCCAGAGAGGGCATCAGCTTCAAAAAGACGTCGTCGGACACGTCTAGGATTTTCCGGGCGGCCTCGGTGTTCARAGGCARCGGATCGGGCACCACCCTTTCCTTCCCCCTCGGTTTCGATCGCTCCGAGCCAAGCCCGTACTTGTCGCTGAATTTTTCCCACTGGCCGTCGATCYTGTCCGCCATCTGCGCGCCCTTGACGACGGAGGTTCGCACCGARATGCCCAGGTCGCTAGTCGTGACGGCCCTCGTGATCCGGGCTCCCACCTCCCCCGCCAGGGACTCGGCGGGAAAGGAGGCGCCCGCCACCGCGGCGGAAGCAACGCCGCCCAGGGCTCGCAACAGCTTTCGCCGCCCAGGGCTTTGGCTGTYTGAATTCTCGCCCGYTTSGGAGCCSGGTGGCACCGGTTCTYCCGGAGAAACCCCTCTGGCGCTGCCGCCATCCCTTGCTGGTGGTGGTTTGTTGCCGTTCCGTTCGTGKAAGCCACGGGCGGATGCGCAGGGCCACAGTGGTTCACRGTGGTTRCGGCGATCCAACGCCGACGTCGTCGATCGGGGAGAAGGCGAAAGCCCCGCCKGCGGAACGACCAAGGCGGACGCCAGCGACAACCCTAATAKCAGAATCGTCCAGAATGCTCTGCCACRCCCCATTGGAGTTAGCGTCGATCTGGGMACTGGTTGAGTCTTCATCTYAGTTTTTGCACCGAAACACCATCACTCGGAAAAGATACACTACAGGTACAAATATTGTAGGGATTCTGTGCTCCGATGTATCCATACCGAACAATTGCAACATGTCGTACCGGCCGGTACTACGAGGTACTGTACTATTGGCGGAGGCGGAAGCATCATCGAAAGAGATGTGCTTGCTTACTCAGATTTGTGTGCAACCGCAAAATGCACTGTTTCAAACGAGGGTAGTACGTACGCGTTTGAAAAATTTGAAAAAGTGTGCCCCTCCCCCGATGTGAGAAATTTCTGTCATACCTTTCGTCCTAACGTACGTACCAGGTACGTACCGTACGGTATCATAAGGTAGCGTTCGTTCTTATGTCCATAACCGTACAAGCAGTACGTACTCGTACCGGACGGACGGTACCGTTCTGTACCCGTACGCAATCTTACATCTGTGATTGCGTACTTATGGTACTGCAGTGAGTAGCACGAAAGGTAGGTGATGCAAGGACACACCCACAGTATCTAAGTACGAGTACTACGTACGTGTACCAAATTCGTAGCGTTCGTTTGGTTGATGGGTCGGGTGATGGGGATGGCATCGGCTTCTCATCTTGCAGTGGCAGGCTGTTCGTATCGAGCCACGGGACRCTCGGGAAGTACTTCTACCGGTACGCCTGACKGGTTTTTTGTTTCTAAATGGAAAGTMGCAGCACTTTGCAGAATCGGTCGGCATAGCTGGSGGCCCGAGGCGGCCAGCCAATTGCACTCTGCGCGAACTTGGTGGTTAGGCCCGGAGGCTTYTATTCAAAAACATGTTTTTAGGTTCATTCTGCCTTTCCCACGAGTGAAACACGWATTCCAMATTCTTCTTCTTCTCCCCAAGAAACGAAAGGACCGAGGTTATTCCGGAAGAAGTAGATTCCTGTTCTCGCGATTTGACGCATGATTTTCGCCACGCCATTGAGGTAAGGAACAATTTAGGTCAGAAGGTGGGTCTTCCATGCGGAAGGGCTACTGTGAGGGTTCCTCGGTTGGTTCCAACTTCTGCCGKGATCCAGGAAAAGCAGAAYCGCTTTTCCCGACCCACAGAATAAAAAAKCGGTGGCCCGTTCTGCTTCCCGAAACTTGTTCAGTGGYTTCTGTTCCCCTCTGCCGTGTCCATACCGGATAGATTTCAATAGAAAGCAACAGCAGTCTAACCCAAMAGCCCCGMCCGGAAAGAATTCCGATCGGAGTCGTAATTGCGCATWAACCGTACGCGTGYACCGGTACATTGCACCGATACCGTGCCGTAGATTGAGAATTCCGATTGAGATCCACAACGTGCCTACCTTGTGTCGCAAACAAGGTCATAGCATAACCAAACACAACAAACCATATTCTCACCATAGMAGAGCACAGAATTGCATTCCAAAACGCTACACAAACATACTACACCTTACGCTTACCATGGTGATTACCAACTCGGATTCGAACACGACCCTCGTGAGTCTTAACGACAACCCAAAGCACGGAACCCCCACATCCGATCCGTGCATCGTGATCGGCCAGTCGGGTCTTCTGGAATTTGTAGAACCCTCTTCATCAACAACAGACACAACAACAKCAGCAGCAGCAGCGAGAACCACCGTAGGCGTTCCCACCGATCTGTGGATCGCTACCTCCGGGSAGGCACGTGTCCCCTTGTACCTCCCCAMTCCCCGGGAYCCGATCACCGTGGACGAATACCTTTCCGAGACGTACTACGCCAGAGAGKGTCACGCAGGCCACGAGGAAGGAGAAKCGGAAACAGTCACAGGGCGAGACCTGCGCACCGGGGCCAGGGCTCTGTGCGAATCCCGCGATCGCCTCTTGTCCGCGAAACGGCGGACACTGGGAGCAGCCACAGAAACACCACCAACAACGGCAAGCACAAACCCGAACGAATCATCACACGAGGCACAACACCGCCTCTTGTACGTGGCCCAGGGAGAGCGGGCCAACGCCACCCAGGCGCAATACGATGTACTAGCGAGCGACAAGGCCACGACCTGCCACATCCTGGCCTTTCGCAGCAGCTGCARCAGCGATGGCAGCAGCGAATGCCACCGCCCGCAGCACGCCCTCCCCYTGGCATCGATCACCCACCTGGACGGTCCGAACTACGAGGAATGCGTTCGCGAGATGATCCAGGAACACATCGACCACCACTCCCACCGTTGCGAGGGGGATCGCTCGRACCACACCTGCTTCGATCGAAGGAAGTCCAAGAGAACCAGGTGCGGCACCAGCAACGACWGCGGGGGAATCACCATCGAGGTCCACKTGGTGGGGGGATTCGACGACTGCGACGGATCCTCCTCGGACATCACGGACTGGCTGCTCCGGCTCCTGGCCAACCTGGCCGGGGAGCACGGCAGCAAGGGCGTGGAGATGGTGGTRAAGACCCTCGCGGTCTCCTCCTCCAACAATGCCATCGATCGCAGGGGGAACCACACCCCGATCGGCCGYGGCCTCGGCATCGACGTGCGCTCCGGGGAGGTSTTTCTCGCKAGKTGCGAGCACGRCGCGATGGGSCCCGCCCACCTGCTCCGATCGGTCCGGCTCTGGTCCAGGTGCTCSCMGGAGGAAMCCGGGGGCGCCATCTCCAAGGGGCTAAGCGTTGTGCACCGTTCGAGTGACGCCGAGCGCCTCCTGGCCTCCGTCAGAGGATACGGCCTGTTCTGGGTCCGGCCTTTTGTCCTCCGGGCGATCCCCGACGCCCGGGCCCTGCTGGGYCTCCCCGACGAGCTCCTGCGGAKGTACACCTCGACCTCCCCGGAGGTMGAGGAGGAGGGCTTTTGCAGGGACGTCCGGGACTCGCTGAGCTTCCTGGAGCGCCTGTGCGTCSTGGAGGGAGACGACGGGAGCAAGCTCTTCGGGAAGGCCTTTGACCGGCCCCTAGTTTTTGGGATCTACCGTGGCGGGGAAGGAGCTCCCGGGAGCGGTGGCAAGGCGTCCCCGAAAAAGGGGGAGTGGCAGCTGCTCTCGCCCTAGKCCGGGACCGAAGGCACTCACACACACACTTGTACATAAAGTGCTACAATGACGCCGATTGGTATATAGAATACTGTGATTAATAACACACAAGTAATAGACTTTTTTAAGGAACGCAACGCAGAACTAACAAACTAGTAGCTACTTCCATGGATCGATAAGGCAACGCARACGTTACTAGGTTTGAATCGAACACAATGATGATTGCCTGTCAAACATAGCATCGATGCAACACCCTCGGCGGTGCACAGATGTGTCGAGGTTGGTTGTTCCAAGCGAGCATGCTCGCATCTGCCGTACCGTACATAGAGAGGGCACAGGGCACGTACGATGCCCGGAATGAAGCACCGCACCACCGTGCTTGTTCTTCCCACACGACTTTCCTTGTTCCGGTGGCAAGCCCCCCTCCCCCCCCGCGGTCTAGTTGCGAGAGAACAGACTGCGTACGTTCCGTAGAACGAACCGGAACATAATGGCAGAGGGAAAGCTAGTACGGAGACGAGTGCGTACGATCGAACGAGTTACTCGTTCCCTAGGCCTTGTCCCAGTCGGAGTGCCCATGTGCGGCATTCGGCGGCTTCCAATCGAGACTCCGAAAAATGATCAAATAGTACTMRTMCTTTGGTAGTTTTCGAATTTCGCGCCGAAGGTGTACATCAAATCGATACCAGATCGTACGTACGTAGAAGAGACTATTTACTCGTACTATCTTCCCGCGATGAGCGGGATTGCGTTTTGAGTTTGGTTTCTCCGAGGAAAGGAAACAACAGTGATGCTAGTACGAGTACATACGTACCCACGGTGGTTATTCGTAATCGTATTTGTATTCGTACCAATCCGGCCACGCACCGCCGCCGGGGTGCCAGAATTTCGGTGTTGAAGCAGCGACGGGGTTTTTCTAAAAACAATTTCGAACTCGGCAAGCGCCGGAAGCATACTACTACMGTATCGTACATACAAATCATATGTTATATGTGAAGCAACCACACGGGTTCATCGTATCATTGTACGGTACTTACTTCGTACCGGTACATAAAATTCAAAATTCATATGATAGAATATATTTGAGTACCTACGGTACGTACCTACCACAGTATAAGGTAGAAGTATAAGCCATGCCGGATGCCTGCTCGCTGGATGCTGGTTGCTTGTTCATAGTTTGCCAAGTACTCAACATACTTTTTGTACCTATGGTGTGGATACATATTCTCTTTCGACTAGCTGGCGAAGCCGAAACCAACAAGAGTTCGTACTAACGTACCGTAGACGCGAACCCTAATATTACGAAGTACTACATACGTAGAGTCGTACGTACGTACCTGATCAAAGAAGCTTAGGACGGAAGACGAAAGACCCATCATTCGCGGGAAAAATCGCATTGCGGGCTTCCACTCGCTCGCTCCGTCCGGGACTCGTAATACAAACTCGCATCGTACGTACGGCAACGTACGGCACGGTACGTCAAATTTTGTTTTTTTCTTCCCATGTTTTTCCCTCACAATTTCAAACMGGCTCGTAAACAAAGAAGTGATCTCATGGCAATTGATACTGTTACTGGCAGATCATAGATAGGGCACAGGTGGCAATAAACGAGCASAAGACGGCGCTAGACTCCAAYCGAGAAGCATAAAACAAAGAGCACGGTAGAAAAAGACTGCTTCTCTTTTCGAGAAGACCAGTTATCATGCACTCATTCAAGAACCTCTAACTCCACAAGGGCMGATTGGAGAATGCACAAATCCATTGAATGGAGATTCCAGCTTCGGGTCTTCAAACCTTTCATTATTCGAAACCATCACACAAGAGTGGTCACGATTATTTGTGATCACGAGTAAGATTTGAACTCTGATTGATTTGAACCGAAACGACTCTGTTGAAGCTTCCTATTGGTTCTCCAGGCCAAGGCGAATTCAATTCTACAGGATGATCTAACGGAGTGGCAAGACTTCGAATCCTTGTCGAGACATCGAAAGCTGTATGATTCACACGAAKSTTTGCCGCAAAAACGTTTCGAATGGAATGGAATGTTTGTGGACGAATCGAACRACGCCAAAAATTCTAGTTTTCTAGCTCTRAGGCAAAGATTTCCAGACCGAAGCGATGTGTGTTCGGACATATTCTAAACGAGTTCTTGGAAACATGTGTTCGGTTCGAGAAGTGGTTTCCGATCGTTACGATCGAGGCCRATTGGGTCCGATTCGAACACGCCTTTTTCAGAGATAGCATTTCAGGCCAATCTTCTTCTTRAAGCTCGAMTATCCAACATCGTGGATTGAGAGAGGATGCCGAACCAGAATGGAGAACTTGAATTGCCTRACTGATGTCAAATGTAGAAATAAAGTTGACAAACTTTTCAGCGTCATATGCAAATCTGATATSAAGCGAGAGAGCTGAAGTCGMCTACAWCAGCAAAAGTTGGTCCAATTTGATTTTCATCAATACGAAGACGTTTGATAGTGATACATTCGAACGAGTGCCTGTGTTGCTYCRTCGTTCGACGTGAAACTGGACCAAAAATTCCAGTTGCAACCACACAGGTCGAATGCTTCTGTACGAAAGATATATGGCACTACTGATAGTTCCGTMAAAGATCATGATGGGAAATCATCTGAAAGCGCGTATTGTTTTGTTGAATTCGTAAATGACCGGGGATCAAAGAAAACCTTTAAAAGTTAAAAACAAATGTTATTATCTCTCTGAGGTGGGCGAGGAGTGGGATATGTGCGTCCGCCACTTTATCTATTGTTTGTGTGTGTGCCGCATCCTAGTAAGAAAAAGGGAAAATGCGTTTTTCTTGTTCAAATGGATTTGCATACGCTGCGCCAATGGATCGATGGATTGGTACAGTGCTGATTGATTCTAGTTCCTTAGAATAGCATAGTATTTAGAATCCGTTGTCGTGAAGAGCTTGCAYCAAGTTGCCGGTGGCACTTCCGTCGGTGGTCATGCCTTGGACGATGATACCAGCGGCGGCCCACATAGCCAGRCGTCCGTTGGCAATTTCTTGTCCCTTGAGTCGTGCAACCGATTCGGGGCTTCCGTTCAAGAATCCAAGAGGGTCCAATCCGAAGTCACCAGGCTCCCGTTCGCCGGACTTTCTTCCGCTGGTGGCGGCAATTCCCGAGAAGGCTTCGGCAAACATGATGAAGATCAAGGAAGCGACAATGTATTGGGGGTGGGCGTTCCAGAATTGCCAGAAAGCATCCATTTGGTTAGRGGCGGTGGCCATCTCGCACCCGGGGGCAGGTCCGAACAATTCGACCTGAAGAGTACCGGCAACAGCCAACATAGCAACACGGGCGTGCTTGAGTTCGGCTTCACGGAGCCAGTACAAGTCGAYTCCAACACCGTTGATGGTGGAAAGACCGAGGGGATCGAAACCAACATCACCAGCCATAGATCCGTCAAGCTAATTTATCGTAAAAATGGCATTCGATTTCACACACGAGCACAGAGCAMAGAGCCGAATGCAATGCSGTTGTTTGCGTTCCGAAGATTCATTCATGGATTTGAAATGATTCGAATATATTCGTGAAAGACAAGTGTGAGCTACTGGCATGTCGAGATACAAGCGAAGGTGTTCTAAAATCATAGGRACTGCTTTCTACTGCCTCCATCGTCATGTCCCACAAGCCACCATGTAGCCAATCGACTTACGAGAGCGGGTCTGTTCATGAAAGGAAGCGATTTGCTTCGCTCGGCTGCGTTCAAAGAAACCAACGATTGCTGTTGGTTRGCAGCAGGTGCAAAGGCAGAAGCCGAAGCGGAAAGAAGAGCGAAGATAGCGGCTGATTTCATCATGGTTGTTGTATAATTTGAGGGGTTCGATGTAAGTCCAAGGATGGTCGTAAAGAGGCACAGGACGAGTATGATGGGATCGCAACGTAGAAGGTTGGTACAGAGTTCAGAATACCTTCGTCACATCGTGTTGTTGGGGTAGATGAGCGTTGTGGAGTCGCATATCTTTCCATTTCGTGTGTTCAACTTTCATCAAAATACAATCGGGATTCATTTACTAGGGATAGAATCAGGATGAATTTCATAGTTTTCGACTCCCTTGATTAAAAATCATCACTCGTGACCGATAATTGGATCAATCGCATCACATCTTTTTTTCTCCCCCGATTTCCATAATTTTTCAGAAGAAAGTCCTCGAACGAAAAAATGCCGCGCTGTCAGTACGGTACTGTAATCAGTACCATACTGTATCTGTCAACTTTTCTTGTCTATCATCGCATCATCGCCGCTCAATGAAAACTGCATGCCACTGCCGAAGCGCCGACGTCTGGCAATTCGAAAGGACCTCAAACATCTG